GTGAACATTTGGGCGGCGTTATGTAAATCTTCCCACATCGTGACGTAGACATGTGGGGGCATGTTAGAACGAGCCGTTTTAGGTAGGAGTGGTTGACTCTTAACTTTTATAAAAAATATCTCTTTGGATTTGAGACTTTAGTCTTTGCAACTTTACAGATCTTCTTTATGCTTCTTTAAGCACATTATTCATGTGCTTTTTGAATTATACCATAAATTCTTCTAAAATGTGATGACCAAACAGCAAAAAATATTGCTAGTCTACAAAGCTCTGCAGGTGCTGAATTGTTTTTCAGCCAACACATTTCAGGATAATTTCTTTCTAACTAAATATACTCTCTGTATGCTCCATTTCTAACCCACAAAACTTGGTCCCACTGAAATTTCCCATCTGCTTTTATAAAGTGACATAGTTTATGTTCCTATCACTAGATATTTGAGGACAGGCAGGGTTTTAGTAGAACAGGTCTGTCTGGGCCCCCAAAACCTTTTTTTGTCTGACCACTGAAGTGGAGAGAAGAAAATATGGTGGTCTGGAGGGACCAGGCAGAAGAAGGTGTGAAAAAAAGAGTGGAGAGGAGTGTGGGAGGCTACTGAGAGCCTCAACCCATTTCTGTCACTGCAGTTTAAGAAGGCCTGAGAGAAAATATTCAGCTCACTCAAATCTTTTACAGACAGGTCACACCACAGCAGCACAAAATTAAGTGGCACCCATGTGAGCAGAACAAGGGCACTGTTTGGCTTCATGTTTTGCAGTTCAATACAAGTAAGAATGTTGTCACACTGAGTTTCCTTTCTTTTCAATGTTAGTCAAAAGTCTCCCAGACAGGATCTAACCAGGTTTGCTCTGTTCCAACATGAGCTCCATTGAATTGAATCCACTGACTTTTAAAGACTAAGTTTAAAAAGACTACATATAGTGTGACTAGTCTAGTCCAATTCCTGATCTAATGACTTCTATGAGTCAGTTTTTCCACAGAGAATCAAAATTGTTCAGCACAACTGGTGTAGTTCCAGTTCTTCTCAGTGGATCAAAATCATGCAGCTCGACCAGTGTAGTTCAATTACAGAATTATTAGGTTCTTTTCAGTGATTCCATTAGTCCAATTACAGAAAGACTGACTCCTATGAGTCAGTTCATTTCAGTGAATCAAAATCATGCAGTGCGGCTGGGGTGGTCAGACTCCTCAAAGACTGACTCTCACGAGTCTGTTCTTGTTAGTGAATCAAAACCAATACAGCACAACCAGTGTAGTGCAATTACAGAACAAATGATTCGAATGAATCAGTTCTTCTATGTGAATCAAAACCATACAGCTCAAACAGTAGTTCAATTACAGAAAGATTGACTGAATGAAAAAAAAACTCTTATAAGCCAGCTCTTCTCTGTGAATCAAAGTGATACAGCTTGGCCAGCATAGTCCAATTACATGACAAAAACCTCTATTGGATACTGTAGTGAAAACCATATAATGCAACCAGTATTCTAGTCAGAGAAAGAATGACTCCTTTGAGTCAAAATTATACAGCAGGACCATTATATTCAGACTCCTGAACTAATAACTCCTGTAACTCTGTTCTTGTCAGTGAATCAAAATCATACAGCACAATCAGTGTAGACCAAAAAAATTAATCGGTACTTCTAAGGGAATCAAAACCATAGAGCACGACTGATGTAGTACAATTCCCAAAATAATTACTTTTATGAGCCAACTTCTTTTTAGTTAACAAAAATCATACAGCACAACTGGCGCAGTCAAATTCCCCCCAAAAAAAGTCAAATGAGCAAGCTTTTCTCAGTGGATCAAAATCATACAGCTAGACCAGTGTAGTCCAAATACAGAACAAATGACTCTCGAGTTGAATCTGTTCTCGTCAGTGAATCAAAGTCATACATAGGGTTGGGTATTGTTTGAATTTTATCAATTCCGATTCCGATTCCTCTTATCGATTCCGATTCATTTCGATTCCCAGTTTCGATTCCAATGTAGTTAACTAATGATATCAAACATTTATCCTGTCTCTTTTTTGCAAACCATTTATTGGAGCTGAATACCATGAACAAAAATAAACAGGCTACATTAAAACTCTATAAGAGCTGTTTGTGTGCAAAATAGAACTACATGATTCTGGTTAAATTGAGTTTTTTTTTTCTTTTTTCCCCCCCAATGGAAGTTGTGGTTCCCTCGTGATGATTCTGGAGAAAACACATTAGACAACTAACCAAAATCACATGTAATTTATGAATGAATGATTCAATGACTCACTCAAGATGTAGCCTACTTGTTTCATTACTGGATGAATCAGCGTTCTTCAACGAATCTCTTGTATGATTCAAAGACAAATACATTTTAACAGCCCCTTTTCGCCACCTACTGGCGTAACAATGTAATCGATAAATCTTCATTTGAAGTGTCAAATTACTTTCAAAAGGTGATTTACTCTATTTTAAGCACTACCGTACACATCAGAGTTTATATCTGAACTATAAACTTTTATCCCAGTACTTCTGTGATTTCAATATTTGTAACACAGAAATAATAATACTGTGTGGTTGAAAAGACTGTGAAGCTGTTTCATTCATGACAGATGACAGCTGCTCTCTTTAGGTCAATGGCAGCGCGAACGCAGATTTAAATGTTCAAATCACACTGGTGTGATTTTACACCAGACGGATGAACCAAGTGATCACAACATTGATCGTACACGTCAAAGTTTGAGGAATGAAACAGACGAATCATTGTAATTTAGGAATAGAATCACGTTGGTGTTTGAATCGTGTTCGCGATCTTTAACGATCTATTAAATTGAAGTGCTCTGTCATGTAGGTGGTGACACCTCTCTTGCAACATGTTTAGCTATCACTGATATTATACTTAGCTTTTTTGGCTTCTGATCTCAAATGTAGCCAAACTTTGGAGCACTTAGATTAGCAAGCAAGGTCCTGGCAGATCGCTAGGTCCGGTCCTCGCAGATGAAGAAAAAAAAAGCACACAGGAATCGATAGGCGGAATCGAAATTTTAATTTGACAACAAGTATCCGATTCCTGACCTTAAGTACCCGGTTCTGGAATCGGAATCGATTTTCGATTCCCAACCCTAATCATACAGCACAACCAGTGTAGTCCAATTACATAACAAATTACTCGGTATGAATCGGTATGTAGCATTTGGACCAATCAGACACACAACTATTTGTTATATTTAACAAATAATATCAAACGCCCCCTCACCTAACCAAAGGGCCAACTAAGAGGGTCTATGGACCCTTTCCCCGAAATGCAACTAACACCTTAAAAGGGCAGAACAGGCCTCTGGTTCCATGGCAACCAAAGACATACCATCTGATAAAACTAGTTTTATTGCTTAAAGGAATGCGGGCAGAGCAACTCTCCCTCCATGTCTCCTAAGGAAAGACACATAATGCCCATAAAAATGGACTCTGATGTAGTCTAATTCCCAAAAGAATGACTTTTATGAGCCAGTTCTTTTTGGTGAACAAAAATCATAACAGCACAACTGGTGCAGTCAAACTCCCAAAAGAATAACTCCAGTGAGCGACCTAGACCAGTGTAGTCCAAATACAGAACAAATGACTCGCGAGTTGAATCTGTTTTTGTCAGTGAATCAAAATTGTATCAAAACCATATAGTGCAACCAGCAGTCTAACTACGGGGAAAAAAAAGACTCCTATGAATCAGTTCTTCTCAGTGAATCAAAATCATACAGTGTAACCAGTGTGATCAAACAAATGATTCTTAGGAACCATCAAAATCATGCAGCCTGACTGGATTAACTGGATTCTTGAATGAATGACTCATATGAATGAATAGGCCTAACTTGTATCCTTGACTAATTTTAACTTTCAGCTTAAGACAAATATTTAATATTTTGCCAGTAGTATTTTGAATGAAAATAAGTAGTATTATTCTATGAAATACATTACCCCATTTTGTTTCTTTAATATTGTTGTACTAGCTAAGGTCAATTACTGAACTGTATTAATGTTATCACTAAAATAATGTAAATTTAACAGTTGTAAATTTACCTGTTATTCCCATTACAATTGGGAAATACAATTTCTTTTTATTTCTTAAAAGTACTAAAATAATCACAAATGGAACCGTTATACAACTGGAATCATTTCTCATGCCTAGCACACATGAACACACATGTATTTACACTCAAGTGGGCAGATCTGAAGCAAACCTGACCAATGGTGCTGAGGAAACATGGCACACACACTTGGCTCAGTTCCTGAGGGATGTAGGCATAGACAATTGATGGCTGCTCAGTCATTTCTTCATAAACTCTGCTATCTTCATGTTAACCTTCACCTCACTGAGCCAATGTCAAAAGCTGTCAGTGTCACCCTGTATTATTCCAACCCATGAAACTGCGGTTTCATCTGCTCTGACAGAGCTGGCCAGTCTTCACAGAACCGAATGGGCAAAATAATTGATTGTACTGCTCTTGATGTTTATAAGCTGCAGAGTGATCTCTGGAATTTTTCCAGAGTCCCAAAATATAAGGTACTCCATATGATCGTCATATGAATGTGTTACCTTGTGTTTGAAGACAATGAAATAAACAGAAGCAAAAAAGGGCCTCGGGATCCTTGTGTTTGTCTATAGTTGACAGGCAAAATAATTACACTCTTTTTAGCAGGATGGATGTAACGGGTCAGCCTTTAATTTGCAAGCCAAATCAATTTTCTGACAAAAACATGCTGTTCGGAGAAACATGGATATTGTTTCTGATTAGTCACCTGCACTATTTACTCGCTTCCAAGAAAATATGATTACAAGAACACAGTGACATCGCACATTTTAATTACAATCCAAAAACATGATGCACAGCCATTTTCTCTGGTTAAAACAGCACTCTTTGGAGAAACTATTCGCTCAACAAACCATACAAAACACAACAGCTCAGTTTGTTTCAGATAATCACCTGATTCCCACACCTGCACACAGATTGAAACAAAAAAAGGGCTCTTACCTTCCCCACATACTGGGCATCCGGCCCAATGTGCTCTTCCAAAACGAAGAACTGATTCCAGATCCAGCCTCGCTTGGGGCGGTGATGCGAGTCCTTGTCGCTGTCGGGCAGTTTGGTCTGGTTGTGGGTGAACGTGGGGCTGGGCGGCGAAGGGGTCCCATAGCTCCTCTGGAGCACACACAGGCACAGCAGCAGAGGGGACAGACAGGCAGGGCTGCTGGCTGCTCTCATGTTAAAGAGTCGGAACGTTTGAACTCCTGCTCTCGCTCACCCAGAGGTCTCTCTCTTGTGGTGGGCGGCTCTAGATGCCGATCGGACCAGTTCGCAGGGCTTGGCTGACGGCCATGGTTTAAAATCCTGTTGTCGCTGAGACCCGTCGGGCGGCACTCACATCGTGGGCCGAGAGCGAGACGTGTTGATTCGTTGGGGAGCCGGCGTCCACTGGAGACTCACTGGAGGCAATGGCAGATATCCACGAAACATCTGTGTGAAAGAAAGAGGACAAACTGTACTTTCATGGGGGCGAAATGAAACGCAGCCAGCGATTACATTTTAATTCCACTAAAAATTTAGGATTAGCTGTTGCCCGTGAAGATCTAAGATATGAAAATTGGCCTAAAAGCCCATCGCGATCTTGCTGTTTGTGGTTCGGTGAAACATCTAATACATTTTTGATGGAACAGCTGTTCTAGTATAATAGGAAGGATCATGTCTGCTGGTGCAAGGGACGTGTAATGAGAGCTCCAGCATTGTGAGTTTATTCAATTGGCTGAACGGTATTCCTGGGATCAATGCATGTCCCTGGTTACCTCGGCAAAGAAGCTGATAGCTCTCCACTCCTCTGCCTCCCTGTCAATTCAGATTTGTCACTTGTTGAGGAGAAGCTCCCTCATACTCTTCATTCCTCGGCGGCATGAGGGTTACTGACATGGACAAGTGAAATACCTAGCGCTTTAGGGTTAGTCTTCCTCAAACCTAATAGAAATTGTGACAAAAAAAAACAGACAAACAAATAAACAAACGACAGTGGAAACACTGCAGGGTTGGCATTTCCTGTCACCTTAGCTACATCTGAACACTTCCTTTCCAAGACATGTTTAAAACAGTCACAGTAATGCTGAAGCCATGTCCCACGGGTCTAACATTATACGATCGCAATAAATATTTCATGGGGCAACACAAACTGACAGTGAGATATCTGAGAGACTCACTTTTGTTTGTAAGGGAAGATGGAATATGTGGCATGTGAATGCAACTTTAATCTATCAAGAACCTCACACTGTTTTTTGTTTGTTTTTGTTTTTTTAACGAAATTTTGCATAGAGTGTATTTGAAGGCAATATTCAGCATTTCAAGAGCTGCATTTGTTATGTGTATTCAACAATGCACATAGGTCGATAATACAGTAGCCGAAATAGTATCCGTTGGAAGTAATGAATGAATCTAAAACAATGCGATATGAGTCTGAATGCATTTAATTAAAAGTGCTTGTTGTTATATAATCTTAATGAAAGAGCAACTGATATACTAAATGACGAGGGAATCATTTTAGACCACTAACACAATAGAAAAGGCTTTCTAACTATTATTCTCTTCTCTACTATTGTTGTAGCTTGACTACAAGAGAATAAAAAACAGTTAGGTTAGGTTTAACAGTCAGCTACGTTCTTCAAGACTGAAGAGGGAGTCAATACATTGGTTTACAGGGCAAAACATCAGTTTCCATCAAAAGCAATTGCTGCAAACTTTACTGTTTAGCTAACTGTATTGTTATACAAACCAGAAAAAGAGTCTGGTTAGATTTACTTTATAATGCATCATGACATGTTACTGTGGAAACTGTGGTGCATATCAGAAAACAATTTCACAAATGCCATGACATGTTGAATACTTATTTCTAAGAGCAAAATATTAAAAACAAATGTTCATTGTCTGTCTTATTCATGCATGGCACACAAAAGTCTTTTTCAATCGCTTTCTTTGTCTTGCTGGCAACAGATGGCCTACTCTTGAGCTATTTATGAATATTACTTTATGAAAATTAATGAACTTAATTTTGAGACTGGGTAAAGAAGAAGAATTGAGATTTTAAGTGAGAAACTATTCTTTCAGTCTACAATAGCATATGCCAGTTCAACTTATGATATAACATGAAAGATTAAAAAAAAATACTGAATGAGTGTGCATACAGATGGGTGAATGAATGGGGAGAACAAGAAAACTACATTCCACAGTGTTTTAGTATCCCAAATTCAATGACAAGGCCACTATTGTGACTATTTAACTCACTAGCTATAGCAGGAAAATAAGTGCCACCATTGTACTCTTTCATAAACCAAGTAAAGGGATGATTAATTAACCATGGTATTAATAAAATCTCTTTGGTTGTGAAACTTTAAGTTTGAAATATGACTTTTTGCTCTCTATAAGCATCAGTGTACTTGTGCTTTGAACCCCAAAACCACTGTACTAATCTGAAGTGGAAGTAATGGGCACTAATGAGAACAGGGTACTGAGTCAGTCAGTCAGTCACAATGCCGCAATAAATTCAATAAACAAGAAGTTAATACTGAGTAACTTAGATTTCAGACACAATTGCCAGTTACTTTATCCGTTTTTGTTCCACAAAAGAAAATAGACAACAATCAATGGTTGCAGTTTTCTGAGCAATACACAGCAGTGATATTTCATTCTCCAATGAATCAATTGAGTAAATGATTCAAAGACGCACTTATTTCATTCCTGAATGAATCAATGTTTTTGAACAAATCAGTTAGAGAATGCTTTAATGACTCACTCATAAAGAGAGGCAATTGTTCATTTACTGCATGTACTGTACTGTTAGGCCAATGTTTCGAGGCCAAAAAGACTCACTTATTTCATTGCTGAATGAATAAGTGTTTCTGAACAAATTGGTTAAAGAATCACTCACTTTTAAAGATCGTTTTTGAATGAGTCAATTAAGTCATTTCAAAGGCTCACTCACCTTTTGTTCCTGAATAAATCAGTGTTTTTGAACAAATCAGCTGAATAATTTATAAATCACTCATAAAGACTTGTTCATTTATGAGGGAATCATGAGTTGTTGTTGTTTTTTTGAATGAATTGATTGAGTGGATGATTCAAAATCAATGACAAGTAAATCAAACACAGTCACTTGCCACCTACTGCTGTAACAATGTAACTTGCAAAAAGAGTACTTGGAAAAATCCCACTTAAAGACTGTCAAATTTGAGAACTGGAGCTATAACCATTAAAAAATATAAAATAATAAAATAAAATAAAAATACACCATCAAAGTTGCTCACATTAAGAACAGTTCAGACTTTGCATTTTGACATAAATGATTACGATAAGCACGACTCAAAATAAACATCTCTAAATACAGCATCTCACATCAGTGAATCTGGATTAATCTGTGAGATGAAATGTAACTAATGTGAACCTGCCTGACTGAACTCACCAGGCTTGATGCAACTCTTAGAGCACCAGTCTGATGAGAATTAGGACAGTGAGTTTGTCACAATGGAGTAGATTGTATTTTGAGAATTTTTTTCACAAGAAATCTCAGCATGCTTGACACCTTGTAACTTGAATAGAGGGAGCAGGAGGGTAAATATTATATTGGACACTACTGTCTCAAAATGAAGTAGAAAAACTCAATGTACGAGTCCCAGATTCATCAATGTATGCTAATTACACAAATTAATTTCTAAATATGTAAATTAGTTTTTTTTTATGTATTTTGAATTCCTTAAAAATAACCATGTTAGCCTATTGTGCAACTAAAAACATACATATTTTAAAAGGGAAAAATATATATAAATGTGATGGCTTTTTACTGGCTGAATATGAAAGAAAAAGAGCAAAAACAATCTGAGAAAATGCTGAATAAAAGCAGAAGCCTGAGTCTAGTTCCGAGAGGAAATGAATATGCTGTAGCTTCTCATTCAGAATAATGTCCATCTGCTCAATCAGAAACGCAATTTATTTACGGAGTCTTGCTGAAGATTTTTCAAGAGGAGGAGGGAGGGCAAAGCCTTTACTCGCGCTTTCAAGCTTATTGTGTTGCCTTGAATAGAAATTGCTTTTTGAGTGCATTTTGACTAATACTGGGCGACAGCTCCGTTTCTTTCATGCTGTTCCAATGGTTTATGTTCAAACAGACAGTTGTCAAAGTTTTCAATCGCTGAACCCTTATCTTCACAATTTGCCATCCAAAATGCATCTGTCCACGATGTTAGATGTCCAGACCAATTTTCCAAATGCGACCAGTTTTATATAATGATCAGATTCCAAGTTTAAGCCTTTTAAAAACAATTTTTTGTGGATTTGTGCAGAATAAAGAAAGAATCAACTCATTAGTTAAGTGACTTGAGCACAGATTCAAGAATAAGCATCTTAAGCAAGAGAAAAGGGTGTTACACATGTAATAAAACACAGTTCCAGCGACACCTGAAACCACAGCAGGCCAGGAGGCAACGATATCTCACGTGCCCTTGTTCTGCACTTCAAGAGCAAAAGGGTCTCGACTGATTCACGCAGGTTTCTCGAGGTCTTCAAAACAAATTTGTAATACTGATTAGAATCCAGTGCAGCTAATTAGGATGCTAATTGGAATGGAGTGAGGCTCGGATGGAACAGTGGCTGAGAGGCGTCTTTTCACAATGACATTTTTCCATGTTTGTTCCTGTCGGCTCTCTACCCCACTCATTGCTTGAATTAATCTTTTTATACATGCAAAAAGAAACATTAGTGATGGAATATTCATGTAAATTAAATCTAGGAGTCATTCTGTATTGTGAGCTAATGTTTAAGTAATATTTCCAATGTTCAGTGGAAATTAAACTCAATCGACAGCACTTACCACAAAAATTAACTCCTTTACTCTAAAAAAACAAAAAAAAAGAAAAAAAAAGGCAAATATTCGGGTCACAATGAGGAACTTACAATGGAAGTCAATAGTTAAATATTAAAATACTCAATGCTAGTCAACAATATACATTATATTAGAGTGATGTTCACTTACTAACGTTTTTCTGTGTAAAGTTATATCCAAATTCACAATTTTACTGCCATGGCAACATAATGCCTAAAACCCTAAAATGATCATACAAATTAGAACAATTTTACAGCTTAATAATTCACAAGTTTTGGGCACTTTTATGAAATTTTAAGTTTCACATTTCCAAAATTGGCCACATTCACCCCCTAATAAGTGCCCCACAGAAACAGTTTTTTCTCTTTTTTTTAAGAAAACAAGGCACATGTTGAAATTGTTGAAAATTCTACCACAAGTGCTGTCGATTGAGCTTAAATTGACTAAACCCAGAACATTCCTTCAATGTTAAAGTCGGCTCATGCATCAGAGACAACCTTCGAGACGCGAAGCAGTAAAATTTCCCCAGTGCAGTTGATTCAGCCAACTTTATTCAATTTAATATTTTTCCCTCTACTTCTCATGTCTTATTCACTTCACAGCACAAAATTGCAGATCTTTTTATAGAACTGTAGTGGTTTTGTAACCTCAAAGCTCTCCCTGCCGTTTGCACTCAATCCAGTGGCATGAGGAGAAGGTGATGCTGAGACTGATTGCCTGCTACAGGATTAGTAATATCGGGGGAGGGACTCCAGGGATCCATTGATGTGCGTTTGTCACCTTGGCATGTCCACTGCATGGAGGCATTAGCTCAAGCACAACATAACTTCCCCCATGCATCAAATACAGGCTGGTCTAATCACTTAATCATTGTCAGACAGCCCTCAGTCTCTGATTGTTAGGCATTCTCAATTTACAAAATGCATGAATGCTTTCCTAAGAATGATGAAGGATGCATATACACACATATACATACATTACACACACATGTATATTATATATGTATATTATAAATAACAAATTTCAAGCATTTTCACATGTGAAAGAATATAAGTTAAAAGAAGAAGAGAGAAGGCTTGCACTTCATTTTTCTCAAGGCAATCAATAAGCACTAAAGTATCAGCAACAAGGGCTTTCAACAGCTGCACTTGCTGTGCTGTTTGTTCACTGGAAAGTGAGACAGAGCTTTGAAGAATCGCATGCGGCCACAATAAAGTGCTGGAGTAAGGAAAGAGGCACAGATCAATGGACAGACACTGCCTTCCTTCCCTCATCCTGCTTCTCCGTTTCGTCTACGACCACATGTACGCTAGACCAACTCTCAGACTTTCTCTGAATGCTGTCTCACCACAAGCCAGACAAACAGAGGCAGCACTCAAGCTTCAATCAGCAGATGAGTAAAGACAAAAAAACAAAAAAAAAAACAGAGTGTGCCTCTTACCTTCTCAGTCTTTCCTTAAAAGATGACAAGGCTTTGGAATACGATGGAGCGCTCCCATTGTTCCTCCACATTTTTTAAGTCACACAGAGAGTATGTGTGCAGCAGCTCAATCCAGTCCAGAACAGAACCGCTAGAGCTCCCAAATCTGCCAGCCTGCTGCAGCTCAGGAGGCGCGCTCTGATTGGCCGGCTACACACGCTGTCATATCCATACACATACACAGAGAAAGTCAGCTCTGCTTTTTTTCCCTCTCACATTTCCTATCTGTTCGCTCGCTCGCTCTCTTTCTCTCGCTTTACATCTCTGACTCTACCTCGCTCACTTTATCTTTTAGTCTCTTTCTCTCTCCCCTTCCATCTGCAGCCAGGAGAGGCACACATGTTCTCAATGGTGAGCAGTGCAGGCAGTGTTTGGTTTAAGGCAATAATGTGGCTCCAGAAGGAAACCTAATTAATAATATAGAGGGAGCGTGGGGGAAGCAAGAAGGACATGAAGCCTGTGTATGCGGATCCCCTCAAGACTGAAGGCCATTTTTTCTTTTCCAGAAGGAAGGCTACTCTGTCAGCTCATAACATAACAGAGGGCATCAGGAACAGGGTGGTAGATAAAATGAAAATGTGATAAAACAAAGGCCTTGAGGGAAAAGAAGGAGCTTTATGTACCGCAACTTCGAGTCATCAAACTCTCAGCTTGCTCTCGGAGGCCATCCATCATTTACCTCCAGGTCTCCCCCTTTCCTTTCAGCCTCAGCACAGGTTGATGATTTATCTTTTCGACTCCATTTATTTATTTACATTCCCTCCACCCCTTTCTCGGCTCCGCTGGTGTCCTTGCAGGTGGGCTTGAGAATGGCTTATGTAAAATGATACTGCACTAAGATTATGATGTTAAATGCTGTCATACAATTATGCAATAAAAATATATCATATATAAAAATAAAATAATATATTGATGCCAATTTTTAAATGATAAAAATCACAAATATAATATAATATAATATACACATTTTTCTCCTTTATCTGAGCAGCTTTGCAGTCTGGTTATAAAATACTATTTTTTTTTATTTAGCAAAAACAGAATTATTATACTGTAGCACCCAGCTAAGCATGACATAGCTAAAGCTGTATCAAAATTACAAAACAATTAATGACCAAAGTCACAAGTTAATGCTACGATAAACAGATTTGCAAGATCATTTTGCAAAAAAGTGCTGAAATCAAATGGCTTGTTGCTTAGGAAACACAACTCTGTTAGGCTATTGACTTTTGTAAGTATTATAAAGTAATAATGAAACAAAACACATCACCTTGACTGTACAACAGCTGATTAACTATTAGAAACATTACTGATGCTGTTTCTGAAGCCATGCATAAGACAGCAAATGGGAGTTTGGATATTGAATAGACCAGATCATTGCTTAGCACATTGTGGGAAAAAATAGATTATGCACTTGGATGAATCTTATGTCAAATTCTTAGGTGGAGCTTAATCATGAGTGAGTGTCAAGAGTGGTGATAAATGACCACATTCACTCAAAGATTTGAAATATATTCCCATTTTCCTCTTTCCTTTTTTCATTATTCATTCCTCTTTTCTTACTATCATTATGATCATACCATGTAATCATTGCCTTAATCATGTTCAATTATTTAAGCTTGAATACATGTTATTAACTAACTGGAGGATTTCTGCCATATGGACATCACCTCTGACAAATGATTTTTAACTGCAATGTAGAAACATTCATCTCCTCTAAAGCTGCTTTAAAATTATATGTATTGTGAAAAGTGCAATACAAATAGACATGAACTAAATTGAAGTGAAGTGAATACAAATTTATATTCACAGAAACCAAATGTTGAGACATAATTCATATAAAAAGTATTTAAGCCTTTTTTAATATTTACGAATTTCAGTTGTAAAACAATTGACAAAAGCAAAACGACAAAGCTGAATTCCCATTTGTGTAAACTTTAGCTAAATAATGCAGACAATATAAATTCAAAGTAAATGTGAAGTTTTATCATTAAAATTAATTGAAAAATTACTTTTAAAACGAATTAAACACAATTCATAAGTTTTAAACAGTGCAGTTTGGTAAATGGTAAAGAAATCACATTTTAATTGGCATGAATTAATCAAATTTACTTAATATAATTATATTTAAATAAATCTAATTTAAAACATTTGTGTAGAAAATAACTTCCCAGCCATTTAATTTTTGAGGTGAGAAAGAAAACAAAGACCAATATATCCAAAAAGACAACATTTTACGCTGAAAGGATCCTTGAACCAAAAAATAAACTTAAACTTGCGGTAAACCCTATAGTTTAGAAAAAGAGGACTAGTGAAAAAGTAAAGGACTGAATTTTCACAACTGAGATACCTGTTGACTGGATTTGAGAGCAAAGACGCCTGCAAGAGGATTATGATCTTCAAAATATAGCATCTGAATTCACCGTGCAAATGGCACCAAGCGCAGGCTACATTCCAAGGAGAAAGGCTCTGATTTTACGCTTCTGCTTACATAATATGGTATAAACATCTCAATCCAATATCTGAAATGCCTTCTCTCCATTCAGGGCTCCATTTAGATGCATGTTTAATTGGGTTGGGGTGGAGGATTTGTTCTGAGGCCTGTCCTCACATGCTTTCATATCACTTTAAGCCTGTATAACCCAACCAGAGCTGCTCGGGGCAAAACAAAAGACCACATTGCACACTGCCCTACTGTCCTTCTCTAAAAATGCTGAAGATTATTCCAGTTTCAATGCTAACAACCAGATAGAGAGAGAGAGAGAGAGAGAGAGAGAGAGAGAGAGAGAGAGAGAGAGATGTTTTTCAATGAATATGACATACAACATTAAAACAACTTACTGCTAACAAAGGTATATCTTTTGTCATGAAGGTTCGGGTGGCTCCTCATTTTCAAGACTGATGGACTGCCTCTTTTTCCATTATTCTTGAAAAAATTATCTGTGGTCTCTAGACTGGATTTATTCATTCATCCTGAGATTATACTTAATGAAAAAGACCATCAAGATTTCAATTACATCCTTTGCTCCTTTTTATCTATTCAAACATCCAGACACACAACAGGATGTATAATTTTGGGGTGACCAACAATGAGTAATACCAGTGTCAGAGTGATAATGACAGTAAAGGTAAATGCATTATGGGTAAGTCTAGTGACCTGATACTATTCTAGGAGCTGATTTAAAGGACACTGAAGACCATTTATTTTTTAGTTCTCAGGTGGGAATGAACTCTGTCTGAAAGCTGTAACAGCATTTGACCCCTTCCTCCCTCTGACATTTTCTCAAAGCGGACACTTTTGCACTTATTTGGTAATGTCAACAAAATAACAAATAAAAAATAAAAAGAGAAAAAGCATAAAAAAAGCAAACATATGGATGGACTTGTCACTGTATGTGTTACATACATTAAATCCATTAAACAGGTACCTGGTTAACGAACCATGCTGTCAAGACAGAAGTGAGAACCCATTAGCTCCATAGCAGATTAAGCACTTAGTCAGTTCATTCATACTTTATGGATGAATAGTTTACTTCTTGTTTTTTTTCTTTTGGCTTGGTAGACTCTGTCAAAATAATAATAATAATAACTGTTGTATTTATTATTATTATTATGTCTTTCTGTTCCTAATTGATTGCATTTTCAGGCTGATAAGCAAAAATTTGAAACCTTGATTGAGAATCACAGAAAAAATTCTGTAAATTGACATCACTTCCATTTTGCACAGCCTCATCTTTGTGGTGGTTAGATTCTTGACTCAAGTTCAATCTCAGTCTGTTGTGAATTAATTTTCACCAGTCGTCTGGCCTCTAATTATTATATCCCCCCCCCCATTGCAGAGCTAGTGTGAGATAGTGCCACCAACAGCCCATAAATCACTTGACATCAGTCGTTGAGGTTAGACCTTCCAGTGTATAATCTAATCTTCCACAGACACTGAGCAAATCTCCATACTGGTAATGGTTACATCTGCACACAAGAAAACTCACGTATGACTAATCACAGGTCTTCACTGCAGAATAAAATCTTAACATTTAGGATTCTACCAAATACTTGCTAACAAGTGATGTTTTATTAACAAATTTCGGAAAACTTAATTCTCTCTAATCTTTCAGCATTACCACATCCAGTCGCCGCAAACATGTCAAAGATAGAATTATTCCCGGACGACAACTCCTTCGACACCCCGGGTCCTCTGGCATCTCCAGTGCACCAGCGCTCCGCAGGACACCACAACAGAGCTGCACCACAGGGCCGCCGGCCATGCCGTGCTGCCGCCACTCATACCACCAGACGTCAAGGCACATCCATCACCTTCGCCTTTCAGATGTTAGCCACCTTCCCCTGCGTCCTCCTATGCTTCAGCCCTCCCCTCCGTCCCCGCCGTGGAGAAATGGACCGTGACAGCCTACATCAGGCGCTCATCCGGGCCGCCGTCGACTTCCCACGACGGTCGAACAAGGCGGAACTCCACGCCCTCTATGCTTTTCTCCAGCCAGGGGCACCACCTTCAAATGCCACTTCTCCGTCCAAAGCCACGGATAAAGCGAGCCAGGTCCCGAGCAAACCACTACTCCCTTAAGGACGGGTTTCTGGCAGTCAGGCCGCAGCAGAAGGTCATCAGCAAGCCTGGGCCTTGCCCCAGATGCTGCAGCCGCCAGCTCCCGACCCCCTCCCCAATCAGCCGAGCTTCAGCTCACAGGTCTTCTCGGCGACGTGCCGGCCTTCATCTCCACAAGTCGCCATGACAGCGTGAGCACGCCTCTGCTAGTGGAGCAGACCCATCCACAGCCTTTTCCTTACCCCACTCCCAACCCCCTTCCCTACCCGTGGCCTGCAGCCCCACTATCCAACTCTAGGCCTGGACGCCTGCCATTCCCACTTTCTTCCCCCCCTTTTCTTCCACTCCCTCTCCTGAAGCCGACCCAAGTGCAAGGCCACCTCTGCTAATGGCGCAGACCCTGATGCCTGCCATTCCCCCTCTCTTCCCCCCTTTTTCTTCAGCATTCCCTTCCGGAGTGGATCCAAGCATGAGGATACCTCCGCAAGCGGTTCCGGTGGCTGCCGTTCCTC